TTTAGCTGGTTTGCTCTCCCAGCATCCCCCTCTCCTGCAATACTGCACTTCTTCTTACTGCCTGTGATGGTTTTCACAGTCCCGGTCCACTCTCACTGTAGTGAATCCAGGTAGATCCACATTAGCGTCCAGGGTGTTCTGGGTTAGCCAGGTTTCAGAGAGGCAAAGTAAACTGCACTCCCTGAACGTCCTGTCCGTCCTCACAAGGGCCGCCAGCTCGTCTGTCTTGTTGGTCAGACAGTTCACATTCCCCATCACTATCGATGGAACCGAGGGCTTGTACTTCCACCGCTTAGCTGCTAGCCTAGCCTTCACCTTCGCTCCGGCTCTGCAGCCTTGGTGCCTCTTCCTTAGCTCCTAAGGTATGTGGTGGAAAATGCCAGCTCGTCCCATTGTTTGGAGGGAAAGCAGCTTTTCCCTTGAATAAACAAGTTGTCAACTGCTATGTTGTCCGTAAAAAGTAATTGTATCCATAGGATATATAAAGTTTTACACAGCTAGTGTAAACGTTAAAGTTTAAAAAAACACACTTAAAGTATTAAAAACAACATGACACGTACGGAGTTACTGGATCAGCGTCCTGCTCGCGTCGGCGCCAGAAGTCATATCATATGAATAACAGCAGCAAGGAGTAGGCCTATGGTTTTTAGAAAGCATATAGCCTAGGCCTAACATTTCTTTATGCCACCGGCTGAAATAAAAAAAAAAAGCAAGTAAATCCCGACTTTTAAACAGCTGTTTTTCTGCACATGAAGCCTATTCATAAGAGCAGTCTTCAGTAGTTACAAAATGTTACGTTAACGCCACTCTCTCCCGACGAGTCCAGCATCTATGACAGTAGCTGCAGGAGTTTCTTTCTGTAAGTTTCGTTGCTGTGCTGCTTCAGCAGATGCTTCAATAAATCAGATGTAGAAATGTTCGCGGTTGAAAGCTTTTTGCTGGTCGCACAGAGTTTACAATATACGACTATGTTCTTTACATCTTAGACTGTGACACAATAATGGCAGTAAGCTACTTACAGCTGTGGAAAGAACGCCTCTCTCCCTCGTTCTCCTCAATTCCTTTAGTTTTTGGCTATCAGCTGACATGAACAACAAAGTCCGATCCCGCTGACCTGCCGCACAGTCGTGGATTCACGTCAAGGATGGTGCGTTCAGTAACGAGTAACGCAGCGTTACTTGCCTTAGTAACTGTAATAATATTACTGTTTTAGAAAAGTAATTAGTTACACTACTAGTTACTGGGAAAAGTAATTTTATTACTGTAACGCGTTACTGCCCAACACTGGTGACATCATGGTTTACTGTCACTAAGATAATGATCATTCTGCACTGATCTGTCAAACTATTCTATCCTACAGATTTTATCACTATATACCTACATGTTAACTGATCACCGGACTGCGGTAAATGGAGGCTATATAAGAGATTAGCATGCTAACTCCAGTTGTAGAGGGAATAACCAATTATTGTGAAAATCATAAAATCTCTCCAGGTGAACTAAATGATTTAATATGAGCTTGTTACGTGGGCTAACGTAAACAGCTCACCACAGGAGACACAAAGTTAGCAAACTGCACAGCAGACTTACCTTGAGAGAACAAGGATGAACCCGATCCTGAATTACGAGTGTTGAGTTAAAAGAAGATTCTCCACTTTATTTTTCCGCTGCTGGTTGAAACAAGGCTACAGTCTTGTAGCCTTGTACTTGTTGTCTCTACAGACGAGGATGAAGCTAGCTACTACCGTGCAGAGGGCTCTGGTGCCATGAATATCCTTTCAATTCATGGGAGAGGATGTTGCTGTTGCCACCTGCTGGTGTAGCTGGTAAATTACTCTCAAACTTACGCATCTCTGTTTACAGATCTCAGCGGGACAGAGTGGACAAAATTCCACAAATGTGTAAAAAGGAAGTTACAAATGTCACGTGACCTGCAAATTGAAAGGAAGCAATCCGCAAATGTGTAAAAACAGTTTTGTGTGTAGAAATGGATCTACAAATGCGTAAATAACACTTTGTATGTCAAATAAAAAGATCTTTGTACAGATTAAATTGTGTGTATTTGCAAATCACACTGTATTTTTGTGGATATGATTTTACACAACACAAATGTAAAATTAAAGCTGCAAGCAGCGTTGGGCGGGCCCTCTGCCGATTCAGATGTTAGCATGTACACTGAAGTTACAACAACTTCCTGTGTCATGGCGAAGAGTTGATCTTTGATGCTACACCACGGACACACCCATTGACGAAAACTCACAGATAGCACAACTTTTCATCGTCAATGCCTTTAGAAGGCACAGCAGAAATTTGAAGTCGATCCGACCAAAATCCCTAGGAGGAGTTCGTTAAAGTACGAAGTGTGTAAATCATCAAAAATGGCCGTAAAATTCAAAATGGCCGACTTCCTGTTGAGTTTAGGGTATGGGTTCTTGAGGCTTTTTTGTGCATGTTGATATGATACATGTCCCCAGAAAATTTAGTGCATGTAGGTTGAACGTGGACGAAGGGCTAATTTTTTCTAATTTTCTAGGTGGCGATAGCAAGTCGGGCCCTAAAAATAAATTTTAAAAAAATCCTTACAGTTTCAATAGGGACCTCGCACGGTTCGTGCTCGGGCCCTAAAAATAATCCTAGCAGTTTCAATAGGGACCTCGCACAGTTCGTGCTGGGGCCCTAAAAATACATGTTGTAGGTTGTGAGATATTTGTTTATGTTTATTTACAGATCTCCGCAGTAGACATTGGACAAAATTCCACAAATGTGTAAAAAGGTACACAAATGTAACGTGACCCACAGATTCACAGGAAGTAATCTACAAATGTGTAAAAACAGTTTTGTGTGTACACATCACCCTGTATTTTTGTGGATATGATTTTACACATCACAAATGTAAAAATACACATTTGCAGATAGTGAAATAATTGCGTATCATTGTACACATTTGTAGATTGTCTTCTGTGGGTTACAAATATTAAAGTCCAATTAAATCTGCCATACAACTCCCAACAAAGATCTTGTAGAGGTGAGATGCATCACTCCATAGCTAAAAGGAAGTGTTCAACACACAGGGTGAAAAGCAACACATCCTCACTCCTGACTTGTCACAAACCACGGTCTCCTGGTTCAAAGTCTAGGTTCTGGCCCTCCATCCACCCCGACCACCACCTTACTCAGTCTTTTCTGTTAAATCACATATACCTACCATTACCGTACTTAATGTTTTTTAGAAAATAAACTTGTATACAGACTTTGTGCTAGGTCTGTGTGCATTTGGATAAAAATAGGAGGCTGAGTGGTGAGGTGATTGGTTAAGCAACTTCCAGATTGCGTCAGGCTGTCCACACAGGGAGCCAAACCGACCTGCTGATGCTGGGGTGGCAGAATATTTCCCACACCAGCAACACTTTACAGCATTAGTACTTTATTTGAATTTGCTGGCAACTGTTCATTACCTTAACCTTAGTTAATGTTAATGTTTTATTAAAAACTTGTTTTTAGGGTTCCATCTATTCCTCTCGGTTACTTGTCTGACTGAAGATTTTTTCCTGTTTGCAACCATGACTGAGAGACCATGGGCATGCATTTTTTTCTTGGTGGCTTTAGTTTGCAGAGGCTCACACCACTGAGTATACCTTTTATGAATGTTTAGTTTGGCCTCTTGTAGTTTGCTATACATTTATTTCTGCAGTATTGACTCAAATGTGAAAATCCCTCTTAGTGTACCGACACACGTGCACCTAGAATTTCTGTCCTGTTTTGCTGTTTGTAGGCCGCTGCTTCATATAAAAAGCTTTCCACTGACAAACTGAAGACTCTTATTGTGAGGAACTGAGTTGGGGAAGAATTTTCATTTACTTGAATTTCTAGCAAACAGCATTTACCTCTCCAACAGGTAGCCTAAACAATTAACCTATTTAACCTTGTTAATTATTAATTTATTATTGATTATTGCTTATTTTACTGTACACAACAAAATGTTCTAAATAAATAACAATGTTAAAATTGAGACGTTTTGGCTCATTTTTTGCAACTGAAATTACATTTTTGTTATTACTTAGAGAGTAAAGTGCAGGAAAAAAGCATTCCAGATACTGGTACTGGTATCTGTTCAAATGTGAACGGTACCCTACCCTAATTCTGAGTTTATAGCTACTCTTCTTGGAATAATAAAACGACTGTCCTGAGGAATCCCGTGGTCTAACAGAGCTGTCAGGACATTTTTTTTTATTGAATTAGACTCCAAACACAAGATGTATACAGTAGTGTTTTGCTGCAGGTTGCACTACTAGTAATGAAAACACTTGCTTATTGTTTTAGGTTACTTGGAGTTAAAATTGTATTTTCATTCATTGGTATTATCAGAAATAATGTATATTTAAATCCAAGGAAGTCTACAAGAATTTTCTGAATACAAACAATTTTAGCATAAGGCTGAAAAGCAACAAAATGTGAACGAAGTGAATATTGCATATAATAGTGATGGTGAAATTAGTGAAGGGGCCCCTTTACATCTGTCTCTCAGATAAGATCTCTTCATTAATTTCTTTACTACTCTGTGTTTGTGTACTTGCGTGTTCCTCTTTGTTTTCTGTCACTATGTGTTTTATGTATTTCTGAGTTTGTGTGCTTTTACAGCATCTGTGACTCACAGACAAACAAGACAGCAGGTGGTGTGTGATGTAATATTGGGTGCATATAAGTCTGCTGTCTGTCTGCTGGATCTACCTGAGGAGGAAGCAAAACTGGGAAACAGGAGACAAATCACTGGCAAACGGGACCCCTTATGGGTTCACTTTTTAGAAATGTTTAAATATGCATACTGAAACTTTTCTCTGGGCTTTAAAGAGTGCATACGTTGAGACATTTTCTTCATGGTATTTCTCTGAGAGAAATTTCTGCCATTGCCATTTCTATTCATACTAAGTGAACATTAAATTGGGCTTATAAATACACAGTAGTTGTGTACCTCTACAATTCCCGGGATTGGCAAGAACAGGATGTCATCGTCAAGGTCCAAGCTCCCTCTGCTCCTGTATGGGATCCTCCTGTGCAGCTCTTTTGCTCCTCTCCCAGTCATCAGCAGTAAAAAACAAACTATACGTAGTACCGGTTCATTGGTTTGGGCTAGCGGCAGCTCCTGGGACAAGAGAGAGGTGACAGCTAGAGATGGAGAATACCTGCTGGGGATAAAGAGACTCAGAAGGCTTTACTGTAATGTGGGCATCGGCTTTCACATTCAGGTCCTGCCAAACGGAAAGATCACAGGCGTGCATAATGAAAACAGATACAGTAAGTATTTTGCCATTCATTGTTAAAATCCATGTAAAGCAGGCAAATAGCATAATTTTTATGTTAAGAATTTTCAATGGAATTAGGGCCATTAGGACCAATGATTCATGTATGGATTGTTAAATAATATAATATAATAAGTATAACAATTAAATACAAAGTATGTACAATAATAACTTTTCAGTTCCCGTAAAAAAATTATGGATTTAATTTGGGCACTACTGGAAAATGTTACAAATGTAGACTCAAAAAAGCAGCAATGATTCCAACAGATCCACTGCTTAACACTGACAACCTTTACTGACTAATTGTTGTAGAAAAGACTGCATATAAAATGAATTTATGTGGAGGTTATTTTTGTAGTTTGAATAAAATAATACTTACTATTAATTCCAGTTCATATTGTAGACACGTTGCCCAGGGCCAGCATACACAGACTGTGCTGCACACTGCAAATAAGCTTTTTTGAGAGGCCCCAGAATGCGTAACCGGTGATCACCACACAGTGCACGGTTAGATTTCCGACTACTTGCTGTGATGTTATGCTGACATCGCTACAGACAGCATATTTGGGGTGATATACTGTTTTGTGCAAACACAAAAAAATTAATGTACATCTTGTATACAACCATGACAAAAGGTTTAATTTTAAGCTGAGACCTTTATTAAAATATTTAATTGTGCGTAGGACAACCTTACTTATAGATGTAGCGATCAGAAACTAACCACTTTGCTGCAGTTCTCATTGAGTTCATGTATCACTCAGGTTGCACTACTAGTAATGAAAACACTTGCTTATTGTTTTTGGCTACTTGGAGTTTAATTGGTATTTTAACCTCACAAGACCTCTGCAGCTGTTAGAGCTGGAAACAACAGTTGCTCTCCGCTTTAGACCACGGTTAAAATGTAGACGCTGAATCAAAGATATAACCCCTTCATTGGCAATATAACATTTTTTATTTTGGATCTTTTGTTTTAGGTAAACGTATTTGGCCTTGTAGTGTTTGTAAACTTTTGCTCATTTCTTTTGGTTCCTGTTTGATCCTATGATGTTTTGATATTACAATATTACATTCATGATATTTTAATAGTACATTTTCTTCGTGTGGCCTGGGAGCTCGCTATTCAGCCTCCATTTTGTAAAGGACCTGTGGTAGAGTGGAAGTGAATACATTTACTTTGACAGTGAAAGCAGAGATGTTCGGGTTGTTCATAGTTGGCAGTCGCGTTTTGCAACAGATGAAGGTAGTGTTGAAATTATACAGTCTCTAAACACTAGTTAGAAATTGATAAGACACAGGGTTTGGGAAAACATAACATGGACGCACCACTTCTGTCCGACTACTCCAGTGTTTCATTGTCAGCATGCCGCTCGGAATATTATAAAAACATGAGGATTCCATGAAGATTTATGGTAGTAAAATTAATTTCATGGTGCTGAGGCAAGTGAATTGTACTTTACTTTTTTCAAAGTTGTAGATTGTTGTTGGAGCAGCTGAACAGCACAAATATGTCTACATGTCTGTTAAAACTGGATTCAATTTACTGAAAAGTTTAAGTTTTGTCCGTTTTTGTAGACAGCTATCTTTCTTGACAAACTGAGACTTTCAGAAAACATGGAAAGTACATGCCTATGCTCCATGAAATCAATTTTACTTTTCTAAATCTCTTTATTACGTTTTCTAAATATTTTGGTATGCATAATGCAAGATCGTCATATAATATACAAAATATGAAACAACCCTTCACTTTCCCAACTCTCTAGTCTCTCCTACCTATCCTCCCAAACCATCCCAAAACCCAGTGCTACCCCTAGTCCCAACCCAGCAAGCTACAACTGACCACAACTGACTAGAACAATAACAAGAAATTAAATCCTCATCACAGCACAGCACTTTTAAATCCAGAATCAGATGAATCAGAATCAGAAGGAGCTTTATTGCAAGGTAGTGTTTTACACATACGAGGAATTTGCTGTGGTGATAAGGTGGAACACGTAGACAAACATACAGTCGACATAAATAAATGTAGAAATACATAAATATGGAATAGAAGAACAACGTTGCAGACATATACATGTGCATTATTCTGGGTCTGTGCCGTGCAGAAGGAACGCAACGGAAGAGAATATTGTGTACATATAAATATATAAACTGAAAACAAAGATCAACAATCAACAACTAATATATGCAACGTGCCAGGTCTGTGCACGACACGAGATGAAACAGTATTTACATGTGCAGAGACATTTGCATCATTTGCAAGGGGGGAGTGTCAGTGGGGGACCCGGGCCTTTTTAATGAGGCTAGTTGCAGACGGGAAGAAACTGTTTATATGGCAAGAGGTTTTGGTCCTGATGGACCGCAGCCTCCTGCCAGAGGGGAGAGTCTGAAACAGTTTGTGTCCAGGGTGGGAGGAGTCAGCTGCAATCTTTCCTGCACGCCTCAGAGTCCTCGAGGAGTACAGGTCCAGAAGAGAAGGAAGATTGCAGCCAATCACCTTCTCTGCAGAGAAGGTGATGGCTGCCCTTGTCACTGGCAGTGGCAGCAGCGTACCAGATGGTGATGGAGGAGGTGAGGATGGACTAAATGATGGCGGGGTACCATCATTGCGTTTGGCAGGCTGAACTTCTTCAGCTGCTGCAGGAAGTACATCCTCTGCTGGGCCTTTTTAATGATGGAGGTGATGTTCAGTTCCCACTTGAGGTCCTGGGAGATGATGGTGCCCAGGAAGCGGAAGAAGTCCACAGTGGTGACTGGGGAGTCACACAGGATTATGGGGAGGGTGGGGCTGGGCTCTTTCTAAAATCCATGACCATCTCCACTGTCTTCTGAACGTTGAGCTCCAGACTGTTCTGGCTGCACCAGGTCACCAATCTTTACCAGGTCGATCTCCCACCTGTAGGTGGACTCATCCCCCCCTGAGATAAGCCCAATGAGGGTGGTGCTGTCTGCAAACTTCAGGAGCTTGACAGACTGGTGACTGGAGGTGCAGCTGTTGGTGTACAGGGAAAAGAGAAGGGGGGAAAGAACGCAGCCTTGAGGGGAACCGGTGCTGATGGTCCTGGAATCAGAGACATGTTTTCCCAGCTTCACGTGCTGCTTCCTGTCCGTCAGGAAGTCTGTGATCCACCTGCAGGTGGAGTCAGGCATGCTCAGCTGGGAGAACTTGTCCTTCTGCAGGGCCGGGATGATGGTGTTAAAAGCAGAGCTGAAATCCACAAACAGGATCCTGGCGTAGGTTCCTGGGGAGTCCAGGTGCTGGAGGATGTAGTGAAGGGCCATGTTTGCTGCATTGTCTACAGACCTGTTGGCTCTGTAGGCGAACTGCAGGGGGTCCAGGACACACAGGGTATGTGATTGATTTTAGGTGGGACAACACAAGGCGCTCAAAGGACTTCATAACCGCACGGGTCAGGGCGACGGGTCTGTAGTCCTTTAGTCCTGTGGTCTGAAGCAGAGTGCTTCAGGGTGGATGGGGAGACAGAGTCCGGCCCAACTGCTTTGCAGGGTTTCTGCCTCCTGAAAAGACCTTTGACTTCCTTCTCTGTGATGGAGAGGGGAGGGAGTGGAGCTGGCCAGCTCTGAGGAGGGGGAGGAAGAAGTGGTGGACTGAGGCTGAAGCTGAGCAGAGGAGTCACGGGGGATGGTGTCCGATTGACTCTCAAAGCGGCAGTAGAACTGGTTCAGCTCATTTGCCAGGCGAGAATCGTTTATGGAGTGGGGGACTTTGGGTTTATAGTTTGTGAACTGTCTGAACCCCCTCCAGACAGAAGTGGCGTTGTTTGCAGAGAACTGGTTCTTTAGTCTCTTTGAGTACAGTCGTTTAGCTACTCGCACCTCCTTGCTAAACCTGTACTTTAACGCCCTGCACCTCACCTAAATGCTTCCTCCTTTTCCAACCTTAGCTGTCTGAGTTTAGCTGTAAACCAGGGTTTGTCATTGTTATAACTCACCCTAGTGCATGTGTCCTCACAGAAGCTGATGTAGGACATCACAGCCTCTGTAAACTCATCCAGGTTGTTGGTAGCCTTCTTGAAAATGTCCCAGTCAGTGCAGTCCAAACACGCCTGAAGATCCTCAATAGCTTCACTAGTCCACTTCTTTGATGTCCTCACTACAGGTTTACAGAGCTTTAGTTTTTGCCTGCAAGCAGGAATCTGAAGGACCATCACATGATCAGAATGTCCTAGTGGAGCGCGTGTGACTGCGTGATAGACACTGCTAACTGTGGTGTAGCAGTGATCCAAAGTGTTCCCTTCTCTGGTTGGACACTGTCTGTATTTGGCAAGTTCTTGGCTGAGATTTCCCCTGTTAAAGTCACCGAGAACAATAACAAGGGAGTCCGGGTTTGTCTACTCCACACACAGTATCCAGTCGGCCAGCATGCGCTGTGCGTCGTGTACATTGGCGTGCGGCGAGATGTAAACACCGACCAGAGTGAATGAAGCAAACTCACGGGAGGAGTAAAGCGGTTTACAGTTAATGAGATGAAATTCCAGATTAGGAGAACAGTGCTGCTGAATCATTATAACGCCATTGTTAATATAAAAACAGATACCTCCTTCACCTTTTGTTTTGCTGGAAAGTTCTGTGTCACGGTCCACTCTGTACAGTTGGAAGCCTGCCAGCTGCAGTGCGGAGTCCGGTATCAGTTCACACAGCCACGTCTACGTGAAGCACAGAACAGAAGATGAATAAAAGTCTCTGTTTTTCCCCACCAAAACCTTAAGTTCATCCAGTTTGTTGCACAGTGAGCGCATGTTGGAGAGAAATATTGCCGGTAGCGGTGTGTGGCGTCCCCACCGGCGAAGACGCACGAGCGACTCGGCTCTTTTTCCTCTCCTGCGGCGCTTCACAGCGCAAGCGACAGCGAAAGAACCCTTCACCAAAATTTCCAATAATTCCACCTCAACGCCATCTTGGAGAATCCAGACTGTGGGGGGTAGACAGAAGCTATAAATTAATGTTAAATTTTCCCAAAGCCTGCGTCATAAGCAA